GGTGACGCGGGGATCTTTGCAGCGGCTTTTGCGCTGTTGTGCTTGGTCTCTTTTCTGTGGGGCCCCCTGGGGTGCTGGTGTCCGTCTCTGTGGCTGGTTTATCTCGCATGGCGGCGTGGGCGGGCACGTGCGGTGTGTGTTTGATGCCGGTGTGTGATTGGTGAGGCTTGACGCACGGGGCGTGTTTTCGCGCGAGGGCCTGCGCGTGCGGTGGGCCCGTGGTCTGCTGGGTTTACCTGGCGTTCTTTCCGATCGTGGGGGCTGGTTTGGTTTACGAAGGTTCCGCGGGAACCTGATGTTTTTTTTTTCCTCGAGAGACGCTGGCGAGCGTTGGTTTCTGCGCCGGGCCCCGGACTATTGCGTTCCTGCGTGCAGCGCTGTGCGAGCAATCTCGTGTTTGGGTCTTTCCGAGTTACCGCTCGGAGGGGTCTGGACGGGGCAGACCGGTGTCGGGGTTCGCACATGGAGTGCTTTTGCGGCCGGTTGGTTGATGAAGCCACTGGACGACCGCTTGGCCGATTGTGTCAAGTGCGTGCCTGGAAGATGGCCGGCGCCGAGGGCGGGAGGCGTTCGTCCGCGGGGGGGCAGAGTGGGGAGAGGCGTGTTATTTTTTTGAATTTCGGCGGGGTGTGGGTTAGGTTGTACTTAACGTGTTTAAGTGTGTGTACGCTGTAGAAGTGCTACATGCGTCGCCGTGTCGGTCGCTTCTTCGTCTTCTTCTTTTTTCACTTAAACTATTATTGCGTTGATCAGGAATCCTTTTTCAGAAAAATTGATCGCACTATTCGCTGAAAATCTGATGGGACATTTGTTTGCAAACCCGCGCATCTGGAGTCCGAAGGGGCACTTTTAAGAGACGCCGTGCTTGTCATTTCAGCCAGCTCGCGGTGTGATTGGGGCGCCCCTGGCCTACTCAGCAGGCGTGTGCTTTCAGCGGCGCGGCCAGCGCCGGGTTGAGGACGCGGTCTGGGCGACGCGGCGGGTGTTTTCTGTCTTTGGGGGTGCGACAGGCTGGAGCCAACGTCGCGGCTCCCGCCCCGGCCCCGGGTTTGCCCGTGGGGTGAGGCTTTGTGGTTTGGCGCTGTTGGCCCTCATAGCGCTAGACACTAGCGGTGGCTTTGGTTCTTGGGCTCTGGCGGGTCCTCTGTTGCGTGGGGTTGGTCGAGAGCTGGACGGTGTTTCACGTCTTGTTGCTCGGCTTGGCGGGTTCGGCTTGGTTCTGAGCGGCGGGCGCGGTACGAGGGGGTCGGGTGCCAACGGTTGGATTTTGTCGTGATTTCTTTGGCAGGGGCGGCGCGCCCTCGGCCGCTTACAAGCCTGCGCGCCGAGCGCGACTCGGCACTGCTGGCTCCGTTGCGTCTCGGGGTGCCTGCACGTGGCTGGGGATGCTGGGGGCGCTTGTTTCTGCATCAGGCGTGCTTGTCATATGTGTTTTGGTGCTTTTCTCCAAACGTTTCTACGTCGGCTAGTCGATATCGCTGATCTGCGCGGTTCGCTAAGCTCCTTTTTCCCCGCACTCGCACTCCTCATTATGCAGGCATGTCGTGTAAGGCTTGAATTGCCTCACGCCCTATCTTTTGGCCTCGATCTTGTGGATCTATGTCTCACCCTGTACGCTTCGGATACGTCTGGGGGCTGCAGACGTGTCCTTCGTTTCTTGACGTGCTGCCTCCTTTTTGCGTTATTTACGCCTAGTTCGGGCCGGCCTATCTCTGATTGTGTGGTTGCCCCGCTTTTTTAATATACTCCGTCTGCGGTCCTTGCGCGCTTTTGTGACACACTGCTTTGGTTTGGTGGGGGGTGGTCCCTTTCTTATGTGGGGCCTGACTCAGTATGCTTGAATTGAACTTATCCACTCTAGTGGGTTGCGAGACGTCGGCAGCGCTTTTGAAAAATTTCACAGGGCTCTAAGTTGGGTGTGTGGTCGTGTCTTTGCATCCGGGTTGCAAGCAAGTATTAATTATTGTTTTTCAGAAGGGTTCAGGTGTGTGGTTTAAGATCGTTGTCTTCTGCACGAGATAAAGGATTTTATTGCGGCCAATGGGTCGGGCCTTTTTGTGCTATGTTTGGGGGAAGGTGGGGGTGTGAGTCTATGGTCGCAATAGGCAACGCAGGATGTGGGGAAAATGTGGGACGGTAAGGTGCGGCGGTCTGCTACGGGGGGACTGGTCTTAGGCGCGTCTGGGCGGGCATGGCAGTCTACATACTTTTCTTTCTGTTTAGTCACGACGTCTATTTGGCGCAGAGGACTGCTGTGGAGCGCTCGAGCTGAATCTTCTGACGGGTTTTGGGCGATGGGTGGAACGATGGTTGGAGAGGGGTGTGGCAGGAGGGTGGAAGACCCGTCGGGGGAAGAGCAGGAACCGGTGAGAGTGTTGCGGGGCAGCGGATGACTGAGGGGGGGGGCATTGGCGAGGAGAAGGCAATTGGATTTGGTGCATCTTAGGGCTGGGGTGGTACGATACGGAGGCCTGTAGGGTGATTCTATTTGGGAGCAGTCTGCTTTGGGGATTTAGGTACATTGATATGTGGGTTGGTAGTCCCTTGGGTTTTTTTGTAGACGAAGTCGGGTGTACCATGATTTGATTGATAATGATGTCTGTGAGCTGGGGTTAGTATCCTATAGGATTGATTTTGATTAGTTGGTGTGCGAGCGGTCAGAATGTGATTTAGGAATTAGTTATTAGTATTGACTGCCAGTTTGAGATTTAGGTTTTTAAGAGTGAGCGGCGAGAAAGAACGTGCAGGTAGCAGGGCTGGATCGTACAGCGGTTGAGAGGGGGATCGATTGAAGAGCGCTAATAATGTAAAAAAGATGGGCTTTAGAGAGCAACTTGGGAAGAAAGACCAAGAAGGGTGGATTTCTGTTTAGTTACTCTTGAAAGAGTCGCGCGGCATGAGGAGGAGAGGTTAGGGTATTGGTAGGTTCCACGGCGTGGTATGTTGCAGGGTTGTTGGAGTTCGTAGGATGGTGTGAGTTGTTTATGTCTGGGAATTATGAGTTTTATTGGGGAAGATATTTCCGGGGTAAAATAGTTTTTATTGAGTGCATATAGAGACGGCCTCTTTTTTTTGCGCACAGGAGACGGCGGACGGCTGCGTGAGTTGGTTGGGATAACGGGAATATGGTGCACTAGGTTTAATTTTTCGCATGTACAGACATTTGGGAGGGATGCATGGGGATGTTGGAAGTATATGTATATTTTTTGGAGGAAAGACAAGGGTGTGGTACTCTACTTAATGATTTAATGAGGGTGACCATTAATTTAATCTATATATAAAGGTTGCGCAAGCATGGGATGGGAAGAATAAAGTGGATTGCGTGGCTGTGTTAAAGAAGACATCTTGGTATAGGAATGGTGAACACGTTATGTCGAGATAAGTCTTGGTGTTTGAGGGGGTTTGACAGTGGAGTAAACT